GGTATATTTTGGATGGTTCTAACTCTGTTCTACTTTCTCATGTTTATATATGTGTGTGTGTATAAAATATACATATAAATGTGAATTTTGCTTTTTCTGTTTCCTTGGTATGCTGCTTGAAACCGTATTTGTCATTCATATATCTGTAGAACTTCATATAGTCCTTGGCGTAGTGGTATTCAATTAATATTTTATGATTTGGAGGGAGGGAGCTAGTGTTTAAGGTTAAGTACATTGTTATGCCTTTACCTAGAATCTCTATATTATAAATTCCTAACTATCTCTATATTACAGTATAAACCACATCTATTTCATCATAGCTTGTTATTGTATGTCTTTGGTATGTTGTGAAAGAGCTGTCAGAGAATGAGTGCTTTATTACTTAGAGTTACTAGTTAAGTGTTGTTTTACCATTGATCAGAATATCTTTTTCACTTTACTGTATTCATTGTGGTATTTTACTATAATTGGAGGTAGTCATGAGGTGAAAGGCTTGCTGGATCTCCCTTTGTGACATTGGGGCAACATCACTGTGTGGTGGGGATCAATTAGGCATTTACTTCTGTTTTTGTTTTGCTAATCTTAGAGTTTGAAAAAGTTTGCTCCATTCTCTGCCCTACTTCTTGGTCCTTCCCATCTGTGCTCTGACCCAGTGTTAGGTTGTAGAGGAAAAAAAACAACAACATAGAGGTCAGCTTCTATTAAACTCTGTTCCAGTAAAATTGAATAAAGAGCTCTAGAAGATAAAAGGCCATACCCACTTGTCAGATAACCTTGCAAATTTGAGATGTTGATTACTTACCTTGGCTGAGGAATCTTGGAATTGATGACTCCCTTTAAAATTCATTCTCTTTTCACTTGATGGAACAAAATAGCTTTATTTTCCTTTTATTGTTCATCTCCCTCTCACAAAATAAATGATACGATGTTTCCTCTCTGAACGCACAAAGTATTCTTTTAGAGTCTCCTCAGGCCTGGGGTCTGGGTGGGCGTCTGTGTGCCTGAGTGTGTGGTATGTGAGATGTGTGTGTATGTGTTTATATTTTCTCCATCTTCAGATTCATCCAGTTCTAGAAATACTTATACCTTGCTTGCATTGCATGGTTCTGGCTCCCTCTGCAGCCCCAAAAGGAAAAGTGCTTTGTTGTCTTTTGTTGCTGAAAATCCAACTCCCAGCCTTCTTTCTTTGAATAGAGAGCATCCCAGCTGGTATGCAAGGACAGATTGAGATTTCAGATTTAGGAATGCCTTTTTTTTTTTTTTTGGCAAGGCTTATTGAAGACTGAAGACACATTTCAGGAGAGCTCTAAGAGGTGAGAAGATAGTGAGGAGGGTGCGGAGAGAAGGGAAAAAGGCAGAAAATGGGCTAACACAGCTGCAAAGTTAATGTTTAAGAAGAAAGTTCATTCACTTACTGGTATTTACTGTAAACTTTTATTGAGAAATCAGGGAGTTCCAGAGTAGAAGCCTACAGCTACTGTGGGCTTTCCAGGCCCTTTTTATTAGATTGCACCCCCAGGACATTAGTGAACTGCCCACATGGATGAGTTGTGTAATGAGGTCTTCAGTGTTGGCTTGACTGTTGAACATTTAGGGTGACTTTGGCTAGGGCTTGATATCTTAACTTTAAATTACTGATTTTGAAGATACCCTTGAGAGTTTGGTTCTCCCCATAAGTCTAGAGCTGTGCCGTTAAATGCAGCACACCGTGATCCTTGGGGTCCAGAATAGAAATTCTTTTTTTTAAAAAATTTTTAAATGTTTATTTTTGAGAGAGAGAGAGAGAGAGAGAGAGAGCGAGCGAGCGCGGGGGAGCGAGCGCGCGTGCACGCCCTTGCGCGCCAGTGGGGGAGGGGCAGAGAAAGAGAGGCAGGCACAGAATCTGAAACAGGCTCTGGGCTCTGAGCTGTCAGCAAAAGCCCAATGTGGGGCTTGAACTCACGAACCATGAAATCATGACCTGAGCGTAAGTCATAAATTTAACCAACTGAGCCACGCAGGGACCCCCAGAATAGAAATTCTTTAAGCAGTAGTCAACCACATTGACCTCTAATGAGTCCAGGTAAACAAGGGCAGAATTTCTAGACATTTTGCCTCAGTGAAGCAAAACTGACCATTGAAAGGTGGCTTTTGGGGTGCTAGTATATTGTTTGTTGATGTGGGTGCTGGTTACACAAATATATTTAGTATAAATATATTTAGTGTAAACATTACACTTCCATGTGTATTTTTTTGTATGTTACACATCAATAAAAAGTTTTATTTCACACATGTCAAATACTTTTTCAGAGCATTCACCGAAGTGCTGTGTCTGTACTAAGCCACAGCACATGTGAGTGCATGGATGCCTGGAATGTGAAGTTGCCCCTGGCCTACCGCATTACCTCTCATCTTCTTTAAAGGGGTATGTGCATGTGCATATCTAGGTATGTAAGGTGACTCTTATTTAATTGATAATCAGAACATTAATATAAATCCATGCTTTTAGAGTTATTGCATATTCATAAAGTAAGTTTTGCACTTTTGAGTTAAATTCTTATTCAATTAGTAAGTGTCATTTGGTTTGTCGTTGTTGGTTTTTTTTTTTTTTCTTTATGTCATCTTTCTCAGGATTTAGGATCCCTATGAATTGTTAACATGTGTTCTTTGTGAAACCAAATAACACACGTTAAGTTTCTTAGAAAGTCATGGTGATGTTGGTCTGTTTGAAATTAAGTGTTGGGGCTCCTGGGTGGCTCAATTCTGGATTTCAGCTCAGGTCATGATCTCATGGTTCACAGAATCGAGCCCCACATTGGCCTCTGTGTTGACAGTGTGGAGCTTGCTTGAGATTCTCTCCCTCCTTCTCTTTCTGCCCCTCCTCCACTCACACTTCTTCTCTCTCCCTCTCCCTCCCTCCCTCTCTAAACAAACAAACAAACAAACTTCAAAAAAAAGAAATTAAGTAGGATAAATCTTTAGAATCAGAAAAGTGGAGACATTTTGTAAACAGTTTTATTATCCACTTTTCACTTTCCCTTCCCATATTCTTGACTTGTATAAATCTCATCTTTGTCTCCTTGAATCCTTCGTACCTCCCCCCTTGAATTGTCATTAAACTTTTCGCAGACTTAGAAGATTAAAAGCTTGATATTCTTACTTGAAAATTTGGTGAATAATTGTTAAAATTCAGCAGTGGTTTGTACTGTTCTCTAATTTGAATGTAAGTTTTTGAGATTTGTTATTTTTGCTGTTGAGAGGTTTGTTATTTTTGCTATTTAGACTTAAAAGCAGTTAGCTTTTATCCTGGACTGACATGCACATAGCCTTGTTGATTTTAGTGGAAATTAGCAAGCTTGACTTTTCTCTAGAGGCCTCCTAAAACTACATTGAAAGGACTGTACTCCATAGAAGCAGATTTGCCGGTAAGGGCAGGAGGTTCTCGGAGGAATTCTTGCTTCGATGTCTGTAGAGAGCGTGTGAGATTTCATGGTGGCATGTTTTTGTCACAGCTCTTGTGTAGCAGTCACAGACCCTGAACCCAAGAACTGATTTCTATTTGGAGCAGGCACTGACCTGTTTTTCTGGGCTGAAAACAGTGAAGTGTATCAGTTTTGGTAGCTTGAGTTATAAGAAACCTAAGTTAGTTTGAAGTGGAATTACCCTGATGAAAGGGCAGTTGAAAGCCCTTGACACTGGACAGAGGATTGTCTAGTGTCTAACCTTGGCTCAAAATGCACCAGACATAATGAGAGTCATTATGAACTGCCGATCTCCTACCCCTCCCCCCTGCAGACCCTATTAGACTTGCAAAAATAGCAAACACTGTGTGTGTTTGGCGTGGTGCCCGCTGTGTACTGGAGAAAGAAAGCGTACCTTGTTTGTACTCCAACCAGATACTGGTGCATCGTGTTACAGCTCTGCTTGGTTCTGAACTCCTCTGTTCAGTCTCATCCTGACAGATGTTGTCGTTGCCACCCCTTAGCAGGACAAATGCAGCCACTCCTCGGGAGCTGGCTTTTGCCCAGCTGTGCTTGCCAGTACCCTAAGCTGAAGTGCTTATGTACCTGTGGGAAGGCAACAGCCTGTGGCCCTGTTCTCTTCTGCCACTATGTGCATTACCTTTTGAGGTTTGGCCATTTCTGAGGGAGAAGTTCTATTTGGCTGACCAGATAAGTGTGTAAGCCTTGAGCTTCTCTTCCTGCTTTCTAATCCACAGAAGTTTGTTGTTAAGCACCCACTGGACATGCCTAGGGAGGGTCCCTGCCCTCTAGGAGCCCACTGTCCTTTTAGGTAGAAAGACAAGCAGACGGTCAGATAATTGGGACCTTAGTATTTCTGTGCCTGAGGGACTGTGGGAACAAAGGAAGGAGAGATCTCTGGGGAGCATCAGGGCAACTGTCCTTTCACAGGGCTTCTAGGTTAAGTGGAGCTTAGAGCCTGTGGCACATGCTGCTGAGTCCAAGGTGAAAGAGAAGTGGCTTGAAATGAGCTCAATGAACCTAGCCTGGGGCATGGATTTGAAGGCTGCAACAGGCAATGGAGAATCCTTGGAGGATTTTTAAAACAGATGAGTAGCCTCTTCAACTTGTTTTATTTTTTAAAGGATTACTCTGGCAGCAGTCTGAAGACTGGGATTATGCAAAAGGCAGTGAGAGTTGGAGAATAATGTTAGGCTATTAAGTCAGGAAGTAAGATGCATGGAGGGTTTTTGGACTTAAAAAAAAAAGTTCCTGAGTTCAGGTAGAGAGAGTAATTAAGGACTGGAAGGGACTGAGAGTTTAAGGGATTTAGGAGTTTAAGGTAAAGTAGTTTGCTTTACCATCTTGGGCCAATAGCATAACTTGAAGAAAGGAACGAGTATCTCCTCTAGACCTCTGGTCTCTTCTCAGTTCCTCTATAGGGCTCTGGCTCATCTTGGTCCGTCTGTCTGCTTTTCCTTTGGACCTACACCATCTGTGACAGCTGTCTTTTGGGACCCACAGATATTTTTTGATTACTTGTCCCTTTTGTTTTCTTAGGAGATTGCTGGGTCAAGTTGAACACGATTGTATCCAGCAGTGGATTATCGATCTACACGATAGACATCAGTGGTGAAGACATCAGTGTGGAAGTCTAATCAGTGAATCAAGTTCCATTTAAAAGATTTAAATGCAGGAGTGCCTGGGTGGCTCAGTAGGTTACATGTCCGACTCTTGGTTTCCTCTCAGGTCATGATCTCAGTGTCTGTGAGTTCGAGCCCCATGTCGGGCTCCGTACTGTCAGTGCAGAGCCTGCTTGGGATTCTCTTTTTCCTCTCCCTCTCTCTCTGGACCTTCCCTGCTTGTTCTCTTTCTCTCTCTCTCAAAATAAATAAATAAACTAAAAAAAAGATTTTAAAAGATTTAAATTCAGAGGTGCCTTCCTGGCTGAGTGGGAAGAGCATGTGACTCTTGATCTTGGGGTTATGTTCGAGCCCCGGATTGGGTATAGAGATTATTTCAAAATAAAATCTTTTTCAAAAAATAAGGATTTAAATGCAGATTATTTTAGTAAACCTGTTTATTTAGTAAACCTGTTATAATTACTGATTATTTTTCTTCCTTTCCCTACCTTCCATCCTTCCTTCCTCACTTCTTTTCCCTTTTCTGTGTTCACTTTTCCTTTGTCTTTCTCTTCCTCTTCCCTTCCCTCTTGCCACTTTCCTTCTCTTTCCTTTCCATCCTTCTTACCTCTTTCCCTCTACTCTTTTCATTTTCCCCTCTTCCCTTCCCTTTCTCTGCCTCCATTGGATTTATAACTGATAGAGTGGAGCAGAAATATGAGGCTCTTGGGGGCCGTGTGTGATGACTTTATGTGAGAAGACAGGAGGGAATGTACAGACTCTCAAAAGGCCAGTCTCCCTCCAGGTTGTTCCTGATGCAGGGGAAGCTGTTATTTCCTATCTTGGATTGCCACAAAATTGGGAAGAGGTCTGGTAGCTAGAGATTGGAGGCAGCTCCTTAAACTACTTTGCCCACAGATGAATCCATTATAGCTAGAGATTAAAAGGCAGAAGCATCTTTTTGGTCTGGGAGAGATATTTGGTGTGGCCTTCAGAGCCCTGTTTGCCCAGGATTTTCCATGCTACTGGTGACCAAAGATTTCCTTGTCTCTGTGGTGCTGATCTCTGGAATAGGGTGATACCTGTGCCTCCTAAGTCTGCATGGGCGGGGATATCTGTGAGGAGATGTGACGGGGCTGCCTGGAGGGAATGGAAAAGAGGGCAGGTCCGAAATTTGGACAATTTAAAGTAGATCAGAGTTGATATAATCTCAGAGCCTGAAGAATCTTTGGGGCCCCTTGCAATGGGAGAATTCTAGAAGTACTTATTTGGGGGATCAGGAGTATGGGTTCTTCCACACTGATAAGAGAGGAGGGCTCACTTATCATACTTTTCATGTCCTTGAATACAGTTGTGGCCTTCTTTTTCTCATTTTCATTATTTCATCGCGTTTCTTCTAGGAATTAGCTTTACTTCTTGAAAGACAGTGCTGTGATGCCATCTGCTAGTTTACAGAATGCTTTAGGCTTCTCTCCACCGTGCTGTTTCTGCGCCCTTTCCCCAGGTCACCTGCCCAGCAGTGTGGCCTTGCTCTCCATGTTTGTACCTCTCTTCAGGAACTAACTGAACTAGGCATGTGGCAAGAGAGGCAGTGTGCACTGCGGGAGTTCTGGTACCGAGATGTGCTGGGAGGGGGCGTGGTGAGGGGGCTGATTTGGGGCAAGAAGTCTGTGCTACACACGTCAAACACTTAAGAAGCTTCTTTGAAGAATTCTGTGCCTTCAGGATTTTCCTGCTTGATGTATTTTTCATTGCTTTAGGAATAATCTTAAAGCCCTTCCTTGTACTCTTGAACCTAATAAATGACTGCCCATTACTTAACTGTCCAAATTCTGGAGCGCATGTCTTAATTAGTCTAATCACGAAAGACCTTTTAGTCTTGTCAAATAAGCCTCCTCTCCCCCCCCCCCCAGCATTCCTGCTCCTAGATGCCACCTCCTTCCATCTTCTCACATGCATCTTCCTGCTGCTCCCATCCCTCATCTGTAAAGCTCCAGATTTAGTGAGCACATTCTACTGTGCTCTAGGAAGCTTCCTTGCCACTTGGGGGTGGGGTGGGGGGCATATAGACACCTTCCTACTTTCCTACTTCTGTTCCTGCTGTTGTAGGAGGAAAATAATGATTTTTAAAAAACCATTGACCCTTTGTACTTTTACAGAAGAATATGGGTTCACAAGTCATACGTTTGATGCATGATCATACTTAGCATTGTGGGAGTATAAATAAATCTGAAGTCATGACCTTGCCCTGAAAGAGTCTACAGTACAGTGACCAACCTCAAACTAACGTGATGGAAAGTGGAAGTCACTGAATGACCTCTGTGATGGGGAGGAGGCGGTGGGGTTACCTGTGGTGTTACCGAGAGGAAGCAGTACAAGATAACCCAGGGAAGGGCAGAGGAGGGCATGCTTTTGGGAAAAAGGAAGGCCTGCCAGGGCAGAGGGAGGACACAGATGAATGGGGCGGAAGCAAATTGTGTAGGGTTTGGAGGTCAGGGAATGGAATTGAGGCCAAGTAATGGAGATCAGTGATAGGCAGGTGAGTAGTTGAATAAGTCAGAAATATATGGGATGGTTAGAAGGGAGAGTTACAAAGACCAGCCAAAAGGCACTGCTGCGTTAAGGCAGCTGTACTCACAGTGGGAAGGATGGGGGTTGGTAACTGGGGAAGATGATTCAAAGAAAGAAATGACAGGGCTTGCTGACAGATCAGTGCAAGCCTTGTGGGGACTTTAGATCCTGTTTTAAACTAGAATGTTCTAACATTATAGGTGTGTGTGACTGAAGAAAATCTGGTTTGCAGAGATTTAGATTTCATAGCAATTTCTTACCTTGTATTTGCACGACAAAAGCAACTTTTAAATATACTTGTTTAACTGTCACATCATTTTTTCTTCAACATCTGTATCAACTTTCTTGCCTATACATGCAAGGGATACCTCCTCACTCTCTAGGCTTAGTTTTATTGGAAGCTCAGCCTATGAGCAATGAGTTTGGTGGATAGTTCAAGGACTAAATTCAATAGTCTCTTCTCCCATTCATTTTGAAGGAGAAGCATCTGCTTTACAGAGACATTTTAAAAGGAATTCCTTCAATGTCTGGCTGTTTCCAAAAAGTCAACGCAAGAACATGCTTCAGGAACTTCTCCCACCTAGTTAGATGTCCCAAGGCCAGCACACGCCCTCCGGTCTAGCTGCAGCTGTGAGGACAGGTCCAGCCCACATACATCCTGTCCTGCCAGGGGATAAATTTGATACCTCTGCCTTTCTCGTGAAACACTATCTGTGTGAAGTGAGCTCTTTGATCTGTAGTCTTCCCTGATGAAACTAAGGGAAGATTAAGGAACACCTTTGAGTAGATGAATATTGGATGAGGTTTATATAATTTAAGCTCATACTCCTGTTAACCCTTTGACTCAGTGGAGAGCCTGGAGAGCCTTGTGCAGTCATGTCCGTCCCCCCGCCCCAGAAGCAGAAGGTGGTGTGTCTTCTTGGGGTGCATCCTTTTCCTTTATGTAGGGGCAGAGCTCAGGAATAAGTAAATGCTAATTGATGATTGTCATTTCTTTTAAGTTCAGAGAAACCTCTGTATATTGAATGAAATATACTGAAACGGAATTGGAGTCAGTATCTGTGTACTGAGCATCAGGGTTTTAGTGGCGAACAGGCTGATATTTCACGTCATAAAGGATAACAGTAATAATGATGACACTGATTTCTTTAGTGCTTACTGTATGTAAGGTTCTAGTCTAAGCACTTTCCATCCCATTTCATTCTCAGAACAGACTTACCAGGAAAGTATTATTATTATCCCCACGTTAGAAATAAGGCAATTGCGGCACAGAGAAGTTAGGTTACTTCCCCAAAGTCTCACAGTTTATAAGTAGTAAAGTCAGGATTAGAGCCTGAGTAGGCAGGCCCCAGCTTCCTGACTTCTCTCAGTGCTCTTTGGGTGAGACTGGCAGTTAACAAATCCTTTCAGGTATGATTAATTCTGTGGGAGTCTGTAACAGGGTGCATTCACCTGGAGAAGGGGAAGGCTGGGAAGGCTTTCCTGAGAAAATGCCCTTTACGATGATCCAGGAAGAATGAGCGGATGCTCTCTGGGTGTAGTAGGCAGGGGTATTGCAACATGTTTGGTAGTCGTGAGGCTGAAGAGGGTAAGGCAGTTTTGAGGAACACTGAAAGAAGTCAGTGAGGGGAGAGAGAGAGTGTGTGTGTCAAGAATGAGGCTAGCATGGGCCAGATGGGGAAGGGCTCTGCAGGTCCTATTTCAAGGATATGGGGCATGGAAATGTAAAGGATTAAGGACAATTGTGAGTTATAATAAATTAATAATGATTTGTAATACATATATAGTTGGTCTTTGTCCCCCATTCTTGGTGTAGGAGCTTCTAAAAATGCTTGCAATTTTCTAAGTGTTGAGAGCAACAGAATTGTCTTTTGTGATGTTAATGGATGACTTGAAAAGCCCCTTAGGGAAGGGTGGAAGAAAGCTCTTGTCTGAGAAACCCAGGCATTTGATTAGAGGGTTGGAACTCACTCCCACTGGAGACCCCCCCTAGTGGGGAGAGGGGCTGGAGATGGAGTCCAGCCACATATGGCCAGTGATTTAATCAGCTGTGCCTGTGTAAGGAAGCCACCATAAACCCTGAAAGGGTGGTGGTCTGAGAGCTTCTGCGTTGGTGAATGTGTGGAGGTTCAGGGAGATTGGTGCAGAGGGTCTGGAAGCTTGGCACCCCCTCCCACATACTTTGCCCTGTGTACCTCTTCCTCTAGTCTTCCATCTGGATCCTTGATAATACTTTTAAAAAATCAGCTGGTAAATGTAAGTAAACATTTCTCTGAGTTCTGTGAGCCTCTCTAACAAACCTGAGGAGAAGCTGTGGGGATCAGACTTCCTGTCGGTCAGTCAGATGAAACACAGGTTAACAGCGTGGACTTGAGATAGATATCAGTGTCAGAGTTTAGTTAATTGCTTGGCAGTGATGGCCAAACAAACAAACAAACAGAAACACCG